GTATAAATTAATGCAATTTTATTCTTATGAACAACTAAACTTTACTATTTATTTATCACTAACATTAGAATGACTATGAAAATCACAATGAAAAATGAAAAAGTTGTTTAATTTTTGACATATATCAGTCCTTAACCTAATTACTTTTAGATACAAAACCTGAAGTAATTTGGTCAAATGATCCATTTGGTTATGGTGTAACAGAACCCTACTTGTTCAGTAAAACGGGAATCAAGCGTGCTGTCATCAATCGAGTTCATTTTGATGTAAAACAACAACTTTTAGAAAAAAAAGCGATTCCTTTCTTGTGGAGACAGTATTTTGGTAAAGATCTTTTGTCTTTTGTTTTTTCTAGATAGGTGAAAAATAGATTTAAGCCGGAATAAAAATAAAAAAATAAAAATGTGATACCTGAACCTTGCAACCACTATCTCACTACAATTTTACAGATTCGGAAGGCCACAGTGATATTTTAACCCATGTGCTTCCGTACAGTCACTATGATGTTATAAACAGTTGCGGACCAAACCCAACAATTTGTTGCCAATTCGACTTTAAAAGAATAACACATTACAGCTGCGGAATAAAAACTGTGCCAATCACAAAGGACAATGTCGTTGCAAAGTCATTTTAAAATTAGTATTTTTACAAAAATAAACAGTAGAACTATAGATATTTGTTACTGGCATCTACAACATTGGACAGATTTGAACAGTATTAATTAGCTTTGTTAAATATAATTAAAATAATAAAAAAAATTGCTAAACAGTAAAAAAAAAGTGGTCAAAAATCTATAGTTTAATGTGTAAAAGTGCTTTAGAAATTGTTATTGCTTACAATTTTTCAGAGCTCTGGTACTTGAAGAACAGTTCCAGAAGATGGCAAGTTTGTTCCAATCGAACACAGTATTCACAGTCTGGGGCGATGATTTCCGCTACGATATGATAGAGGAATGGCATCAGCAGTACGATAATTTAGTGCTCCTTTTTGACCAAATTAACTCACAAAATCGCACTGAGATCAGGTAAATACTGAAACATCTTCACTAATCAAATACGGAAACAACTATTATTGCTATCTTTTTTCAATTTTTAAAAATGTACCTTTGCTTAATAAAGTTTCAAGTTTCTTTTCTGACGTGAAAAAAATGTGGAAAAATTTTTCTATTAAACACCATCTTTGACCGCTATTCTTGACTGTAATACGTCATTTAAGCTTTGTAAGACAGGTTGAATTTCATTCTTACTTCAGAGTTGTTAAAACTAACAAAGTATTTGTTTAGGTTTGGAACTTTCGCTGACTATTTCAAGGCTTTGGAAGAATTTCACAAAACAAACAAACCTGCAACACTTACTGGCGATTTCTTCCCTTATGAGTGTTCAGTGAGGGACCTTTGGACTGGATATTACACGACAAGACCATTCTTTAAGAAACTTGAACGACGGTTACATGTACGAAAATACCAACTTAACAAAATTAGCAATAATCAATGTTACCTTTTTCTTGTGCTTCAAATTCTGTAACAAGCATCTTTTTAACTTTTACTTTTGACATATTCTTCTACATCGTGGTTGAAAAGAATTGTTTAGTTAAATTCTTCAAAAAAGTGGTAATACTTCCTTCCATCTTAGTCTTTTTTTACTGCTGGGATGTTTTAGGCAGCGATTTATGCAGCAGATGTAGCAACGACAAATGCTGTAAGTTTGATGACAAGTGACGAGAAGTTTAAAGTTCATGAAAGTTTGACATATGCTAGACGTAACTTGGCTCTATTTCAACATCATGATGCTATTACCGGTTAGTCTACTTGACCATTTTTCACACTTCACCTATCTTATTCAACAAATGCCCTGTTCAATTAATTTTAAAAATAAAATTATAGATTGCTGAATAACTCCTGCTTTGTAGGTACTAGCAGAAAACAGGTTATGAAGGATTATGCACAACGTTTGCATAATTCGATAAAGTTAGCCGGTGCAACACTAGCTGCAGCTCTTAGCAAAACTGGGAGTTCTAAGTTCAGTGTGGTGAGTGTCATACGACTGCCCGTCCATTAGTTTTAATTGTCATTTTGTTAGCAATATTTCATCTTATTACAGGATAATATGGCACAAACTTATGATCAGTTACCTGTCCAGACTCTTCTTCAATTAAAGCCTGGTGAAAAAGTGTATGGTTCTTTCTTTCTACTGATATTTTTATTGCAGCGCTTATGCATTCATTAAATTACGATATTTTAAGTTTTTAGCACTATTGCCGTCTGGAACAGTTTAGCACGGGCTAGAAAATGCCTGGTTGCGTTGCGAGTGACGACTGCTGATGTATTAGTCAAAGATGGCGAAAAAAATGTACCTGCTCAGATAGAACCATATTATGACGACAATTTTGCTAAATATACAAACGATTTTCAGGTACTGATTTTACAAATAGTATTATAACGAGCTTTAAATGCGATAACGTTTTTTATGTTCAGCTTCTGTTTACTGCCAACGTAGGGCCGATGACGGAAAAATTGTATACAGTTGAGTACAAGAAATCTCCCATTTCAACAGTTTCCGCCGAAATCTTTGTTGTCAATTCGCCAAATGGGTTGCCACAACCAACGAAGGATCTGTCTCTGAAGTATGCTTCAAGACAACCCACTTGTTTAAAAAAACAGCTTTTTCAAAAAAAATTACCTTCATTGACAATTAAAGTTCTGTTAAACTTTATTTACATTAGTTGAACTTATCTAAATGTTTTGACCACTTTAATTTTCGTAACATAGTTTCTATGTCTTTTTATCTGCAAAACTTATTGTTTTTTCCTTTCCCTATTCAGTTCTAAATTAGTGCTATTACTCCGTTTCATATTCATCTAAAGAAAGTTTGTCTGAAATGGTAGAAAACTTTTTTTTTGCGTGTAACTTTAAATCTCTTTTCTGCTTTAGTTTCTAGTTGATTTATGCTCAAAAATTTTATGCACTTTAAACGGTAAGACTGTTTAAAACAGTAAACTTAAAAAATAATTTGTTAAACTTGTTCGAATAATTTTTGGGCTTAGCATTATGCAAAAAAAAAA